TCTGATGTGTGTTTTATGTATTTTATGTTTGTACTGTTTTCTGGATTTTTTTTAAATTTTAATAAACATTTACCCGTATGCCCTAATTAAGCGCGGGTCGGGGTAAATTCTTCCATTAGAGTATTATTATCCTCATAACTCGTTCTACTATATCAATATCTTACAAATTGCCTTAATACTGAAAAAGCGATCCATTCTATTTCTGCTCATTTAACTTATAAATTTAAAGCTAAGTCCTAACTTAAAATAAACAAAAAAAGGTAATTGTTTTTTTTTTCATTGTAACTTTCTATTAAGCTTTACTTTGGGTGATTGCAATGAGATGGCAACTCACAACCAAAGAGTTATTATTATTAAAAAGTTATTAACAATTACTTTTAGTCTGTATATGTAAACATAAGTCACTCGTAAAATTGAAATAAATTTAAATATAACGAACTGAATGCAATTTTAATAATTCCATTTTTAACTTGAAAAATGGTTAATATTAGCTAAATAGTTAAAATATTCCTAGTTATGACAAGTTTTGAAATTGATATTTTTCTTTAATTGATCAGGGCAGATTTATGACAGAATTGAAAAAATTTTAGTAAAGCTTTACTTCTAAATTCTTTATAACGAAAGAGAAACTAGAATAGATTTTTTTTCTTCATTTTATTAAATTAAAAATAAGACGCTACAGTTGTTTATGCGAAGTTCAAATGAAGCATAAGTACTAAATTATAAACGCATAAAAATGTTTAGTTTAAAAAGATTTCATAACATTTTTATTACAATTCAAATTAAAATTATGTATTAAAATGTATAATTTAATAAATTTAAAATAAAAAAACCTATATAAATGTAAACTAAGTGTTTAGTAGTATAAGTTTATAATGCTTTTAAAAGATAAAGGACGAAATATATGCTCCCATATCACCACTAGTGATCGAACCCCCGGCCCGTTTGCAGACTCGAATTTAATTATTTCTTTATATTTTAATTATTTCTTATTATTCTTATAATAGTATTTTAAGAAAAGACATACTGTTGTTAGAATGTATCTTAAAATAGTCAGCTCGAATGTTATTTATTTACTCTTAAAAGGAAGAAATTAAAAAGTGCGAGTCTGTTAAGAAAAAGTTGTTGCCATGTTAAGAAAAGGAAAATTCCGTGAAAACTAGGACTACACCAACTGCAGTGATGGTGCGTTGCTTTTCTACTACACGTGGCCACCAATGTGTAGATGGAGTGTGAGAGAGATGTTCTTTAGCAACAGATGAGCTGGATATGAACCGGAATCTTTGTGTCCGTAGCCTGATGCTGCAACCACCATGGAGAAGGGTGTACACCCCTGAATTGAGATAGGATACATTATATAATAACCGGATAGGTAAACAGTTAACTTTACTAGTTAGCTTTGATAAAGTTCGTTACAATCACGTGTTTCATCAATAGGCTATTTTCTCGAAGAAAATAACTAGCTGTAAGAATAAGCGGCTAACTCTCAAAATTTTACAGAAGTGCCTTAGAGGTGTGCATCGTAGAAAAAATAGCAAATTCAAAATATGACATTCTTATTACTTTCAATCAAGGAAATTAAATTTTGAATTTCGATGTTATCTATTTTCTCATCTGGGGCCCTATTACCAACTCATCGAAATTTATTCCGCTCTGAAACGATTCCGATCGGAAACTAGCTTTCATCGGATTGCCAATTTCGTAAAACCCACCGTGCCGCAACATGAGCATAACGGAATCCGGAATTGAAATCGGTGAAATTGGAGTTTGTAGGCGGAACTAACTTTGACCAATTAGAAAATTACTATAATTCTAATTTATTAATCTGGCAACGATATGTTTGTTTTCTCTTCTTCTATGCGAGCTAAAATCGCATTAACTTAGAACTGAAAGCTTAAAAGTTCATATGTTTTACTTTAAAAATTGGCTTCCCATACAAAAATCAATATTTGCCAGCAATATCCACCACTGAATGCAATTACAATAAAATTCCAGAAATGAAATCAAGGTTGTCTATAAATATTTTCATTGCAAGAAATTTTGGGATTACTTAAAACCTTAGGTTAATTAAAACCGAAGGAAGGATATTTGCTTATTCAACCATAATTACTAGTTTGAAGCGTCTAGTTCTATTATAATGCAACTGTAAATTTGTTAAATTTTCCTATGAGAATTATAAATAAAAATCTTTTTCATGAAAATAATTATTTGTAGCATTTATTATGAAGAAATCTGCCAAATCATTTCCTAACGTCCGCAAAAGACTATCTACCCTGCTAATGAATTGCCCTCAATCAAATGCTCTTCATTTTGTTTTGTTTTAACAAAGAAAGAGAAAATAACTCATAATTTATGTAAATATTTAAACATTGCTGAATTTATGTTTTATTTAAAAGTTATTATTTTTTTGAAGAAAACAATCATATTTTGCGTTACACGTAAAAGGAAACCACGAAAATATCTTTCAGATTGCTTGACGCTTAAAGAGTTCCAGCTTAATGTTCAGAAATCGTAATGAATTTTTTTACATAATGAATCATTTCTTAACATCTTTGGCAGACAGCCAATTATATTTGTGAATATAAAGAGATGCTCTTTATATTTTTTTTAATTTATATTTATAACTCATCCCAAAAATCAAAGTAACTCGCTTTAATCGGTAGTAATGACAGAAAACAGTGCCATTTTGATCGCTAAAATAAACAAACTCCTATCGGAATCTAGATTTCGCTTACTCTAAACCTGCCGGAATCGAATTCGTAATTATTTCGCTTCGGAATTTAGTTCCGATCGGAATCAAGAGCTCGTAATACGGCCTAACTGACATTCACGGATTTATGACGTCACGAGAGCTTCATTTCGATCGGAATCAGATTCCGTGAAGCTAGTAATAGGGCCCCTGCTGTTGGATTTTTGTTTGTCGCCTCCTAGCTCATGACTAATCAATGCTCATGTCAAAACAAATAACTTGTTCTGAAAATACCAAATTAAACGATAACTTAATTTTCGGAAAAAATGTCAATCACCACACTTTATTCCTAAAACCACATGCATATTGTCATTACTACTCAGTATATTTTTAAGATGTTACATTTTTAAAACTAGGTGCAATATGTTTATTAAGTCCCGTACCTATTAATTTCCTTAATTATTTCCTGTAAGTTTCATACTCCCAAATGTTTAACAATAGAAGTTTGATATTCGAAGATCTCAAAAATCCCAAAAATACTAAGGATCATAAACTTGTGAAGTTTTATACTTTCAGCGATTAAATCTTTTTTAATTGACTCAATAAAATTTACATATTGTTAAAAGTATGAAATTTTCTACGTATTTATTTATCTGATTATAAACATATGTCTAATATATGCTCCGCACAAAGTATTTCTAAAAATGTAAAATAAAATAATAAACTACGATTAGCAATTTTATTTTTAATTTTGCATATAGCAATGCAAAAGCGTATTTGTTGCAAAACTGTAAGGTAAATTAAATGTTTCCTAGCTAAGTTATCAATAACATCTAAAAATATTTAAGATTCATGTTATAAGTATAGGTAAAAATCTTTTGATATTAATTTAATGCAATTGATTCAATCTCTGAAATTTTACTTTGGCAATACTTTTTCAAGGACATTAATTTCTCATTAATTTTCCTTAACATTGTCACAAATTCCCTGCTTTAATGACTTAACTTATAATGAATAAACCAAGTATAATACTTTTTGATACTGTCTGCAATTGAATAGCCATGTCTCCGGCGTTCTCAGTAGGTTCCAAACAAGTCTTTGACTTACAAATACGTTGCAAAGGAGCGCCGCATTTGGCACAAGTAGACAATGACGAAATCTTTTCAATAGTTTTGTGGATCTGTTTTGAGACATTCTTCAAATCCAGAATAACATTCTGAAATGGAGTTTTACAAAAATAATAAACATCATTTGGTTAGCACTTATTTAAATTCGAGGATATTTTTAAAAATTATTATTTTAGAATATTTTGAAAAAAGTAATTGTCCTAACATCCAATTTTTTGATTCATTGATATTGATTTTCTCTTAGAAATACAATTAAAAACATTTAGAAACTATTTATTGAAATCACATCAAAATAAGTTAATTGATTATGACATATATTTTTAGTGATTCAGATATGAAATAAGCATTAGATTTTTAGTATTTTATTTATTTATTTTTGTAATTATTTATTTATGTGTTTATAATTATTTATTTATTATTAGTTATTATTATTATTTATTTATTTATTATTAGTTATTATTATTATTTATTTATTTATTATTATTATTATTTTGAAAATTGAGCTGAACATTACGCCTGATTTAGTAATTAGAATAAAATTGGCTTTAATTTATTTAGGAGAAACGTAAAACATCACCATATTATTATTGATACAAATATATACTTACTTAATTTTGGTTAAAAGGTACTTATTGAAATTTTTAAAAAAAATTTGTGCTAAAAATGTAACTGGTACTCATTGAAATTAAAAATACTATGTACTAAAAAGCAAAATTAATGGAAAAATTGTGCTAATTTATTTAGGGTATCAGCAAAAAATTCGCGATCTTTTGTTAGCGTCAATGATGTTTAAAAAAATATTGATAATAGGCTCAATTGATATTCTTGTCTTTGCAGTTTTAATAGATACCAATTGCAATAATATCGGTGCATAGTATATCATTTTATTTGATACCTATCAAAACTGCACCAATATTGTGCTAGATTGATATTGATACTATTGAAATAGGTTTTTAGGGCCCTTTGAAAGGCATTAGTAACGGATAAAATTGCTTGATTGTCGAAAATTCTGATTGTCATAAGCTGGCTCGAGCAATAACATTATGCCAAAAGATATTAAATACAGTTAATTTTAATTTTAATGAACTACTAAAAATTTGTTTTACTTAATCTAATAATAAAAAACCACAGGGAAGGGCAACCACTAATAATTCATAAAAAATAATTAGAATTATTTTAGCATTATTAATTGTGTCGGCATGTACCTTTCTTGTGCATGATTTCGTAGTGTGCATGATTAGTTCTAATTTATTATTTTCTTTTTTTTTTCTTTCATCCCTTACGATGAAGGGATATCCTGCATATAATAAATAAAATGATTTACGAAACTGATGATAAAACAATAATTTATTTTACAGAATATTTCTATTACGCTGCGATTTCAAAGATGATATAAAAATTGTACGACATGCATCAGATAATTTTTCAATATCCAGAATTGTTGTGAACACAAATAAATTTTTTAAAATAGGTTGGTCAGACAAAAATTATGTGCATATTCATAAACTTTAATTACTCAAGAAACAGTTTCGAGGGAAAATTAACTGAGCTGTTTAACTAAAAATTATTTTTGAAAGTTCATATTACAATGAAATAGAAAACCAATTTTAATAAGAAATATCTCAAAATATATGCTCACTTTTAAGACTTTTGTCTTTGAAATACGAGACGTCGAGCTCCTCTTTGAAATTTCCTTTCTACTAAGAACTGGTAGAAAGTCCAATCCTTTTCCAAGTGTAACGCTTGATGCGGTAGCAATTATTGTATCACTTTTTAACGGTGTTTCATCAGAATATGCGCCCTTTCCCTTCGGCGAAGATATAACTACGACTTCATCGTACTTGATTTCAGGAACAAAGTTTGATGCTTTCGTCGTTACTTCAGCATCTGATTCAGACGTAATACTAGAGTCATATTGCACAGGCAGTCCACTGACATCTCTTTCTGAACATATCTTTTCTGAAACTTGATCACAACTGGCATCTAGGGACAAATCCCGGTCAATTGCAGATTCAATTTCGAGATTATTCACGGAATTATCAAATGAGCCTGGATCGGCATTCATTCCTTGTCCATCTAAAGAGGATTTCTCAAGTGCATCATTATAACTGGAACCAGAAGAAGAAATCACTTTTGCTGATTCAGGGTTTAATTCAGAAGTGGTACATCGATTGAAATTGCCATCAGGGTGGGAAATAGTTGCAATCGTATATTCAACTTCAGAAGCACAAGCATTTATGAAGTGACATTCCATGGGCAATTCATAAGCATTAGTTTTTGATGGGGATATTTTAGAACAACTGACATTTTGGGATAAATCCCCGCCTTTTGAAGATAAAATTTTTAAGTAATTCTCGGAATTATCTGTTAAACGTGCATCGGCTTTTGATCCTTTACCTTCTGAAGCAGGTTTTTTAACTGTATCCTTATAACTGACGCCTGGAGAAGAAACCATTTCATATGTAGTATTTATATTCAGGCTGTCATCAGGAAAGGAATGAGTTGGTCTTGTAAATTTAGCATCAGATGTAGGTTCATTGGTAAAGGGATGCTCAGTGGGTGTTTCTGGAGAAACATTTTCTAAAACTGCATCATAACAGAAAACGTGGGATAAATCATTTTCTACTACAGATGTAATGTGCAAATCATTCACAGAATCAGCCTTTGAAAGTCTACCTTCTGAATGGGATTTAGCATTTGCATCAATATAACAGTCATCAGGAGAAAGAACCATTTCTGTTGCAGATTTAGTAATTAATTCAGTTCTAGTATTCATATTTAGGTTAACGTCCGAAAACAAGAGATCGGATC